GGGCCACGACGGATTGTGGGCACGGGCGAATCCGACGGGTGCGGGAGGACTAAGCGGGGTGACAACTTCGTGGGTTGGTGCGCGATGACGGACTGTCCACATCGGAGAGAGAGAGAGAGGAAGGAGAGTTGAGGTCGATGGATGTGGATTTGATGTTTCTTTGTCTCTTCCCCCTCTCTATCTGTGTACATACATTTTGATTGAGGCTCCGGGCGGTTTGCCCGTTCTTATTTTGGTTTCGGCTTTCTGAAATCTGGGCTTGGATTTTTGCTCACATTTGTCCTCGCGATGTCCGTCCTGCTTGCATTATGTGTATGATTATCAAATGTATGGATGTATGGATGATGGGACCACTTGTCTATCTTTTTGTTGAGAATCCCTGTCCTTGCGTTATGTCTGTGTCGAACCTTTGCGTGCGCCTGATGTCACTGTAGATGGGATAGGAATCTGGCCCCGATAGTGGGTTTGTTCTTGTTTTGCTTATCCCATGATGGGGGTTGTGTTATGATTGCATCTTGCATAATTGACGATCCGAAATCTGGCCCCGTGAACGCCGCGCGAGAACACGTGTAAACGCGATCCGAGTCGCGCCCTTACACGCATTCCCGTGCGCCGATTCGCCCGCCCAGACAGGACTCGCGGCGGAACCATCATCCCGCACGAGCACGCCGGGGCGCAACTAAGTTCGCCTGTCCGACACGTGCTCATGCGCGGTGACGATATCCCGACCCGTGCTATCCCACCGACGATGACACCATGACGCGATCTTGGGGCTCAGACTCATCCTATGACCCAGACTATTTCACCCCTATAATAAACGAGCTCATAAGGACACGATACCCCTGTCACACGGAGAATCGGCTATGTCCGCGGGAATTCCACTGTGCCACCACTAGCGACCCTCGGTGCTCTGATTTCCCTTCCCCCGACCACACCTACTACTTCACCCACCCAGGATTCGTTGAGATCACCACCAGTTTCCCTCCTTTCCGCCTCCTTCTCCCATATCATCAACTCAGTGTCGTTCCGTGGCCGGCCATAGCCCCCTATTGGCCCAATACGTTTTGCGTGAACTGCCAGCGAAGCGGCTCACCGAGCACTCCGGAGTTCCGAAGGCCCAACCCAGCTACGCGGCGGCCTGCGCCACGTGGCGGCCCCCGACGGCCTAACTTTCCGGGACCATCTCCACCACGGAGGAATTTTCCCGTAACCCGTCGTCCACAGTGTCCTGGTCCCTTGGGACTGTGAGACCTTTGTGTGCGCACCCCTCGCTCGCCTAATTGCATTCATATCCTTAAGACTCCCCCACTTCCCCCAAAAATCCTTGGCACACCCCTTTTGCACTTCCAGGCCCACACTCCACTCCGATCAGGAAGTCGCGCTGGGCGTGAGGTTGGGGCGTCACAGCATTCTCCCACAACTTGCGAATGTTCTTCCTGTCTCCAATTTCGACAGGGTGTGTGGCGAAGAGAAACTATCGAAAATCGTGTTTTCAACAGTGGTGTGACGAGCCCCTTTCTCTTGGTCCTTGCCACATGGCATACATGAAACAAAAACGAAACGATAGCATCCGCCCATGAAAGGTGGCAAAATGCACTCATTACTATTTTTAGCAAACCAATGAACTTGTGACTCAGCCTGTCAAAATTGAAGACGGGAATATAATTCGCAAGTTGTCAGACAATGCTTCTCGACACCTGCTGCCGAAAGATGTTGAATCCCCAGCCTGCTACTCCGATGCTTTTAACAGTCCTCGCGACTCCTCGGCTGCGCCATCAACGTCTCCTCGAAATTCGGTGAGTGGGCGTGAGGTCGGGATAAACTAATGCTTGTCGTACCCTCAGGCACGCCCGTCCTTTTCCATCTTGGACTCACAAGTCCGCCCATTCTACAGTGCCATGTGGTTAAATGGGGGCAAACTGTCGAAGGGAGGCTGTCGAATTTATTCAGACAGCCGTCAATGTTTCTTGCCTTTCGACAGTGGTGTGGCGAGCCCCATAAGTGAAAACCATGCCCTCCTTTTCTTACCATCCGTTGAGGGCAGGTCTAGCTGTTCAGTTTCACAGCAGGTGGTACTGGTACCACCCTCAGTTTACCAATGTGGGGTTTACCCGCCCGTAGCTTTTAGGTTCTGTAAAATTAAAATTTAGGCTCGTACATTTAGCCTCGGTTGTGCTGGTGCTTTAAGGGGCTGCATGTTTCCCACCCGCCCTAATCAAAGTTGGTCAGGGAGTAGGGTGGGACTGCCGGTGGGGGGGACCAGCTAACTCAAAGTTCGAGCATTTTGCCAGTAGCCTCTTATCTACTTCCCCCACCTCCCATCGACTAGCAGCAGTGACTATGGCCAACACTCTCCCGCACACCACGCACAACCCACTCACATTGAGGGCTGGCCATAGCTGCGGGCACATACATTCCAGAAAGTGTCAGTGTGAAAATGCCCTGGAAAGGTCCTCTGTTTTTTTTGCATTTCCAAGTCACTGCCTCCACTGCCTTCAGCATCCGTGCATGTGGAAACACATGCAAGACATAAACCAACAGGTCCCGACAGCTTTCTCCACCGTTACACTACAAGGCCTTCCCTGACCCCCGAAAAATGCTGCTGTGAAGGAGCCACGACTTTGTTTTTCGAGCAGGGAAAAGCTCTGGTCGTTTAAAATAATTAGCCCTAGGGGCTCATTAGACACTCCTAAAGGATTCCTAAAAGATTTAGGGTGAGTCCTAAAAGATTTTTAGGATCCGTGGCGGCGTGGTTACACACATTTCTAAAGAACAGATTTACGAACAGTCCTAAAGGGTCTCCAACGGCCTAGTCTCATTTACGTATACGGAGCCGCGCCATCGATGTCCGCCCACTGCAGTCTCGTGTCGTTGGTACACAGGGTGGTGGGCCCTGCCGGTTCATGATGTGGAGAGAAAAAAACATGCGGAGGCAGGCGTTTGAAAATTCGAATTCAAATTTTCGCAGTGGTGCAGAGGCGGGCAGGAAGACGACCAACCGCCATGGATGACGTACAAAAGGCGGCGCAGCGATACGCAATGTGTAGGGAACCATCTTTCGCCTGGCGTGTGAAGTCTTCTGGGGCGTTGAACACAGGCGGAGCGCGGAGGAGTCACATGGGCGCAATGTCAACAATAGAGGTGGACATTCACTGCGGCAGCCATCCGCTGTCTACTGAAGAGCGGGAGGCGGTGGCGTTGGCGGTGACCGCCATGGTTCTGGAGACGATGAGGGGCAGGTCCTCCACCTAGCACGAAGTGAGTCAGCAGTTGCGGAAGCGTAGAGCATTGCTGCAGCGTGTGGTCGGCGCTCTGAATTGCGTGGCCACGTCTGAAGCTCTGGTGCAGCTGTGTTCGGCGCTCCCCGCCGACGTCTTCCCGCGTGAGACGTCCCGATGGTGGATAGAGCGAAGGACGGTATCGACCGGGGTAGCAATCTGCCAGCTCGCTGGAATAACTCTATGATCATTTTTGTGTCTGTTACCCACGGGAGAGCAGTTCCGTGGCTCCTGTAACCTACAAAACAATCGAGTGAATATGCACAAACAAGAAACCAGGGTAGACTCGGCAGAGTACGACAAAATGCTAGAAAATAATAATTTTGCTCAATCTATAATGATTACCTCAGGTGCTCCCGTAGATATCCCACACAACTGAATTTCCACCCCATCTAGATGCTCGGTCTGAGTTCGGTCGCTCCTATAGGAATGTCTGACCCGGAGCCGACACCCTTTAGACTGTTACTCTGTACCGGGCTCGTCTGTCCCAAGGTACGGTGCTCATATTCTCGAAGTCTGCCCACGGCGGCCAAAGCTTAAGGGAGGTGCTTAAGCCACCAGTACCTCACCCAGCTTGAAAAAGCCGACGCGGCCGTTAATGCGCCGCATCGGCGGGGTACCCACCGTCGGGCCACCAATGAACGACCCGTATTCCCCAAAAAACCGGCAAAACGATAAGATAAGAACAAAACAACGAACGGGCGCGGCAGGGGGGGGAAGGGGGGGGAGAATGAATGTGTGTGTGTGAGAGAGAAAGAGAGAGGGCATCAGAGTGTCTGACGCCGAGTTTGGTGCGGCATCAGACACTCTCTGCCTCTCTCTCCCTCCCTCTCTCCCTCCCTCCCTCTCTCTCTCTCTCTCTCTCAATCTCTCTCTCTCTCTCTTTCTCTCTCACACACGCGCTGAGAGACTGACAGACAGATAGGGAGCGCGCGCTTTAACATAGTTGCACGCCTATGGGCGAGGTTTTTTTTTTTCTTTTCGAATCAATCAATCAATCAATCAATCAATCAATCAATCAATCAATCAATCAATCAATCAATCAATCAATCAATCCATCAATCAATCCGTCAATCAATCCTTCAATCAATCAACAATCAATCAATCAATCAATCAATCAATCAATCAATCAATCAATCAATCCATCCATCCATCCATCAATCAATCAATCAATCAATCAACCAATCAATCAATTAATCAATTAATTTTTATTTTTTTATTTTGTTTTTTTTTTCCCGTTTCGATTATTTTTATATATTTTTTAAATATAAAAAGACCAAAAAATAAAATAAAAAGTGTGGGGGTGTAGAGCACGTTGCTAGACTTCACTACAGAGGTCCCAAATTTCCAGTTGACCATCTTTCAACTATCAAGCATACGTTCAGCCCCAGTACATAACACTCCCACAGACTTAAGATTTCGTTCTTTACAGTCGTCCAGCAAACGAATCAGAGACAAAGTTACATGACCCTCAGTTGAATGGAAAGTCAAATGTGTGCCAATCGGTTGACGACATAAAGCCCGTCCTTCCAACCTTTTCTCTCCCTTTTCCTTGGTCTTCTACGCCTACTATGACGCTTGGTATCCCGAGAGTTTAAGTGCGAATTAATTAACTGAAAAAAACTGCTTTCGACCTCGAGGAAATCCTCTTCCTCACATCGACAAATTGGAACAATCACATATTGCCCAATCCCACATCTTCACAACCAAGAATACAGTTGATGATTCCGCTTACCTTTATCGATCACATCACGATCCAGGCAGCGGTAGACATGCTCATTCCAGCCAGCCGGAAGGGAACGGGAGGTAGACCCAACATACGTATGTCTGGACCAAGGGGAAACCAAGAGATATACCAACGGACCCTCTCATACTTCAAAGTCAAAGCCACTACGAATCAATTCATCCAAATAATTCCGCACTTTTCCTACCCATGAAACACATCCTGCTAAAATCAAATCAATCACAATGTCACGAAAGAATGCATTGAACTCCTTATCCCGCAAATAGAACAAATGAGAAGGCTTACCCCAAATCGAAGGACCATAGAAACCATCAGATGAGTCTGAACCACAGGGAACAGAAAGACACCTACTCCTTCGATCCCTACACCAACAAGCCTACTTCCACAATGCGTCACGTCCGAAAGACCTTCCTAGAGCTCAACAGAACGATCATCGTCAGTCGCAGAGACCTCATTCTTAGTAGCCGAGCCGTCCGAGACCTCCACAAGAACAGTCGTCTTACCTTTGTCCGCATGCTTCCCGAAGGCCTTGTCCGCACGATACTCTGCCAATTCGGCAATCATAGGCTCAACCATGCCCATTTTCAAACCCGCCTCCTTACACTAGATTTCTAATGCAGACTTCTTGTATTGACGAAGGGACTTCTTCTGCTCTTCGATAAAGGCAAACAGTTCATTGACTTTCGCAGCTCCGTCGGCTCGACTACAACCCTCCCTCATCGGGGTAGCTTTCCTGCCTTTCCTAACCGATCGAGTAGCAACGGCTTCCAGTCGAGATTTCAAATTGTTGCCACCGCCCTCCGTCTGATCAGGAGCATCGACAGCCGACAACTTCCCCATTTCCTCTTGAAGTTTGATGACCTCCGCCTCTGCATTAAAACGCTTCTCTTTTAGTACTTTCGCCTTGAAACTGATAACCCAGTGCTTCTCCATCATCCTAAGTACTCCTGTTTCCATTTGTCATTGTCGCGTAGGTTATCCGTCCACCTAGGTTTAGGCGATCCCCTCACGACACAATCTGGGGTGCCGACCGCACAACAGCCCCGCTTGTTGCCGGGTCGAAGGGCTTACCCCTTCCACAACTCAGCTTCCTCCCTAGCTTGATTACTAACTCCCCTCAATAATCCAATCTTCGTCTTAATTCCAGCAATCTCTTGTGCAAAGCTCGTTTTTACCAAGGTCGTACCCCGCAGTTGTTCGATCTCTTGCCGTAGTGCAAAAATATCATCCTCCACCAACTTCTTCTTGGCAACTTGCCTCCACAAGTCCGCAATCTCCTGCTGCAACCTCATCCCCATGATTATCATCCCCACGTAATAACCTCCTCAACTTCTCGTTCTCCTTCTTCAGCTGCACCAACTCCTCGTTTGGGCTAACCATACCATCATCCTTGTTGATCAAATGGGGATAGACCTTCTCCGGGCGCTTGTCGAGACGCGCACCCATCTCCTCTTCGAGGCGCGCACGCTCCTTCCTCCATTCCTCTTTCCTATCTTCCTCCTCCTTAAATTTTTTGATCTTCTCCTCCTCTAGCTTCGTCTTCGCCTCCCGTTCTTCATCAGCAACGGTACGAGCATGGCATCTATCTAGCTTTTCCTGATCGACCTTCCACCAATTCGTCCGCGATTGATTGAACTGCTGTTCAGGGAACGTCGGAGCAGCCGCAGCAGGAGTAGCACCGTTAGAATAGTTGTTAGTGACAGCAAAAGATGATGAGCTGGAGGGAGGGGGTAATGCGAGGAGAGGCTGATTAGCAAGAGGAGTGGAATTCGCCCCTGTGGCAGGAGGTCTACCAAATCCACGATGAGGACATTCACGACATAAATGATCAGGAGATCCACAATTATAACACGTTCGAACGTGCATTTGACCCGCCATCCTAAAGTATCACATGATAAAAGAGTACTGAACAAAAGTCGATGTCAGGTACGAGCCACACTACCGTAGTCTAATCTCTACGGAGGTTACTACGTTGAAAGAGTGGTGATGAATCACACACACGATACTGACAAGGACAGCGTACAGCTCCGAATCACAAGACCGTCCAGTGGCAGTCATCCAAAGAAAACACAGACCATCACGACAGAACACAGAGTCAAAGGAGACGCGACCCGAGCTATGAGACAATCAAGACGACAAGACGAAGACGATACGTAAAGCACACGACGAGTGATTTCTCCCCTACGCGGCTGGCTTCAAAAATTCAACGTACAAAACAAGCTCATACTCGAACCGAAAATGGACGTCATGCCCGTAATCGTGCGAAACATGTCCGAGCTTCTAGCGGCGACCCTACATGTTTCATCTGGCCGCCAGAGCCGGAATCGTCATGGGTCAGCTGTCACGGCGGAGGGAAGATCAAAACGACATGAGCCAATATATAGGACCTACGATCAGACCCTACACTAACACCGACCACTGATCTAAGCTAAACAAATGCGCCAGTAACTTCTAGAAAGCCCGAGCAGAGCCAAGAGAGGCAAACCCAATTTAAAAAACAGAACCCAATCGGTACCAGGCCAAAAAAGAGGACCGGTACTGGCGACCTGCAAGGCCCGAGTACTAAGCCCAAGCTAATATCCAAGACTCAAACTGTACCAGGCCCGAGTGCCATCCACCCGGGCGGTCCAAATCCTCAAAGAAACATTGCCCAGGTCCAAATATGCCCCCGTTCATACAATTGATTTGATTGATTGATTGATTGATTGATTGATTGATTGATTGATTGATTGATTGATTAACTGATTTGATTGATTTGATTGATTGATTGATTGATTGATTGATTGATTAATTAATTGATTTGATTGATTAAATTGATTGATTGATTGATTGATTGATTGATTGATTGATTGATTGATTGATTGATTAACTGATTTCATTGATTTGATTGATTGATTGATTGATTAATTAATTGATTTGATTGATTAAATTGATTGATTGA